CAAATCAGATCTGACTGGTACAGGAGGAGATTGTCCCTCCTTCCCCGGCAGAGCATCTGGTGGATTCAAACTGTGCGCCTCTGGGATTGTAGTTGCAGCTCTTTGCCACTAGGCCACCAGAGCTCCCCTAATAAAATTAAATTTAAAAAATTAAAAAAAAAAACCAAACAAAGAAACAAACGAAAAAAAAAGCAACAAAACCAAAAACAGGATCAAATCGTGCGTGTTTGAAATATTTCATCTGTTGCACTGATGGGGCCCTGTACAACGATGGCAGTTATGTCATTGGTATTTTAAACATCAGCAAAGTGACTTACAGTAAGATCTGGAGCTCCCAGACAAAGAAGAATGGTCCCACAATCAATTGAAAATTAGCCTATGAAAACTCCTTTAATGATGGATTTCTGACAAAGTATTGTCCTGTGTAGTGTTGAGATGAGAACTCCCTAGGTTGGAAGGTCCTCAAAATACAGTAGTCGGTGAGCTCTGGTGGCCTAGTGGCAAGAAGCTACACTGCAATCCTAGGGGTGAGCAGCTCAAATCCACCAGATGCTCTGCTAGAGAAGGTGGAACAATCTCCTCCTGTACCAGCGTACCAGTCAGATCCGATTTGACGGTGTGAGCACGTGCATGCACGTGCACACACGAACACCCCCCCCAAAATACAGTGACCCGAACACAGAGGAAAATCAGGCCACTGTTCACGAGGTCACAACAATTTGTCAATGACTCAATGGCAAATAAAATATATTTGACCTTAAGATATTAATATATTTCCAGCAAAAAAAAAAGTAATATATATTCTATTTTAACTTTCTCTATTATTAGGATCAAAAGACAATTAATTAAACCATCTGAGAAAGTGACCAATGTTTTGAACCAATTTTAACTTAAGTATCAATTGCTATTAATAAATATTTGGAAGAAAACCCACAGAAAAAGATTTATGATTTGAAGCAGTATTTCAAGATGAAGTATACAAATCAAAACAGTCTTTTAATAAAAATATTTAATGCTGCCAAAAGGTATAAAAATACAGTAGGAATGGCAGTAGAATACAAAGTAGTTTCCTTTCACTTCTTTCTTTTACATCTTTCTATATTTCATACACACATGTAAAAATAAACCAAATTAGATTAGCAAAGTCTCCTGCTGGTGGGTGTTCTTCATTCCCTGGATATAAAGTTTACTTTGTAAACAGACAGTTGTAAGGCAATCTAAAGATCTATCAGCCTCACTTTAGTTTCCAGAGTGGCCGTCATGTCTTGCTTGCACATCAATGGTTCAAAATTTATAGATGGAGTATATTCTTATGGATGCAGTATATTCTTATGTCATGAACACTTAGGTGTCTGTCAATCTTGGCCTAAAATATAAAATGAGAAGTTACCCATTCAATTCATACTTCCTATACAGACACAAACATAAAAGATCAGTGAAGGAAAATGGCAGCAAGACTCATTACAACTTGGCACATTCACTTCCACTAAGGGCTTCATTCTTGCTGTAGTGAAGAAGCTAATGTTCAACTTTAAAACAAAACTGGTTATTTGGAAGTAGGATCATAGTAAGGCACCATAATTCACATTATTCTTCAAAGTCAGACTATAAATTTGTGAGGTTTTAATTTATATTTTGTAATATACTTTGTAAAACCCCCCTGTTGAGATACTGGCAGGTGCACCAATTAAAATTATATGGCATGTGCCAGACCTGCACGTCAACATATACCTAACTTAACATACTTTCCACAGCTTAAAATATTTTCAGTGTAACTGCCTGGAAATAAAATGAGCTTTATACTTATATTAGCAGCATGCTTTTTTGTCCTGAAGGATAGTATCAATGCTATGATAACTGAAGTGACTTATTATTTAAATGACTATCATTATCAAAGAAAATACAACATGGATCATACTTAGTGTAAAAAAGAAAAAAGCAAGTAAGTTTACATAAAAATTGGTAACTAACGACTGTAAAGGCAAATGAATTTCACAATGTTTACAAATAGCTGAAATTTGGTAGTACAATCTTCCCCACTTTGACTCCCCTCACCAATTAAAATCCAAACACTTTTTAATATAGTTCCAAAGATATGAAGAGGAAATATAAATCATATCCACATTCAGTCTAACAGTAAAAATTATAGTAATTTAAAGACAGATACATGAAGTATTTAAGAAAATGTGCTCATATTCCCCTATGGGTACAAAGGAGTTTCCAGAATCTTAAACTCAAAGCACTGGAGTTAAAATCAGTATTCAAATTTCATATGCTACAAAAAGTTACTCGACTTACTTGTCATATATTCAGAAAAGGAATGTAATCAAAGAATTACATGAATTACAAAGCGGTTTATAGAATTTAATGGCATTTCTCTGTTTTTTATGTCAGTGGTAATTAAAATTATTTCATAACTTTTTTGGAGGAAAAATACCCTTTTCCCCCCCATTTAAAATACTGGTTCCAACATTCAAAAATAGGGGGAGTGTGAAAAAAATGACATTAACTCTGTAATTAGAATTAGATGTTTTACACACACACACAACTCTCTCTCTCTCTCTGCATAGTCTTAGAGAAACCACTTATTCTGTGTTTCAATGTTTTTACCTGACTATAGGAAAAACATTTACGTGGAAGAAGTACTTAAATATTAAAAATAAATTGCCATGGAGTCGACTCCAATTCAATGACGACCTTAGGTACAAGTATTTTGAATTCTTGAGTGCTGTACCACTGGTGCTGATTTTTTATCTATAAAGTTAAAGAATCAACAATTTCAATCTTTTCTCCATAATATGATGTTTCTATTGGCTGAATAGTGAAGACTTCTGTTTTCTTGATGTTAAAATATAGTCCAAATTGAAGGCTGTAGTCTGAGCTTTTTTATTAAGTGCTTCAAGTCTTCACTTTCTTCAGGCAAAGTTGTGCTGTCTGTGTAACCCATTGTGTTGGTAAGTCTTCCTCCAACCTTAATGTCACATTCTCTATATATAATCTTCTCCAATGATTTTTCTCAGTACAGAGATTAAATATGTATAAAGAAATGATGCATACCGCTCCTGATTTTAAACTGTGCTGTGTTCTCTTGTTCTGTTTAGGAATGTTGTTTGGTCTATGTAAAGATTTTGCATTGGCAAAATAAGCATTCTTATAAACCCATTATTCTCAATATTAGCCATAATTTGCTCTGATCTACACAGTCAAATGATTTTGCATAGTCACAAAACACAAGTAAACAACCTTTTGGTATTTTCAGCCAACATTCATCTGACATTGGCAATGACATTCCTCCTGTTACTATCTCTTCAAAATTCATTTTGAAATTTTGACAGTTGCCTGCTATTCCTTAATATGTTAGCAAGATTTTGCTTGAATATGACTATTTTACAGTCATATGACCACATAATTCTCTCCTAAATTTCTTAAGACTAGTGAGCATGTCCACGTATGCACCTACTTAGTGAAAGATGTCACTGGTATTCCATAAATTCTTGAAATCTTGACAATGCCTTTATTACAGATTAAATTGCTTTCCCTTCATTGACACTGATACTTTTGATCACATAGTATTTCCTGAACCAGTTTAGTGTCAATAAATTCTTTTTGGTACAGTAACTTTGTGTATTCCTTCCATCCTTTGATGCCTCCGGCACAATACGATAATTTGCCCATAGAACCCTTCAATATTCCAACTCAATTTGTTCTCCAGCTTGATATGTCAAACTTACTTCTTTGATTTTTTAATTCCATTTTTTATACACATTGTAATACTGTTTTGTTTTGTTTTTTTAGCTGTTCTTGTTCATCTTTTGTTTTGATCTCTCTACGTTCTAATCAGAGGCTCTTCAGACATGCATTTTGGTCTTCTATTCTCGCCTGTCTTTGTAATGACCTTCTGCTTTCTGCACAGATATCCTTGATGCCATCCCAAAACTAATCTGATCTTTGGTCATTAAGTGTTCAGTGAGTGCTTCATATCTACTTGAGATAGCTTTTAAATTCACTGAGGATATACTCAAAGCTGGATTTTGATTCGTGTGGACTTGCTTTCATTTATTTCAGCTTCAATTTGAACTTGCACATAAGTTAATGATGGTCTGATTCCATAGTCCTTGACCTTGTTTTGACTCAGTCTCCATACCATCTTTCCACAGAAGTAGTCATTCCTGTGCAGTACATTGATCTTGTCTAACATGGATGACTAGTTTAAAAATTTATACAGTGACTAACCCAGTGGTGCACAGTTCAAATCCACCAGGTGCTCTGCTGGAGAACAAAGGACAATCTCCTTCTGTACCAGTCAGATCAGATTGCATGGTACACACACAAAAACAATAAATTTTTTTTTAAATTTTATACAATTATATTCTGCTAATGGAAGTACTTTTCCAGATCAAGTTCTTATGTACAATGGCCATTTGTTTTAAAAAGGTATTTGCAATGAATAAATCATTGTACAAAACTTCATTATTAGATCTCTTAACTCGTTTGTCACCACATCCATATTCTCTACCTACTAGTCTAAGAAATTAGCTTGCAACTTCTGCCATTTCAGTCACCAATTATTATTAATGCATGTATCCAACATGTTAATCAATACTAGACTGCAAAAGCTGGTAGAAGTCTGCAATTTCATAACCTTTGGTTTTCCTGGTTGCTGCATATATCAGAGTCATAGTTTTAATAAGAGCTCTTTCTTGTATGTACATGGATAGTACACTATCATTCATAGTATTGTATTTCAGGCTACATCCTGAAATGCTCTTTTTAACTACGAATGCAATATAATTCCTCTTCAATTTGTCAGTCTCTGTGTCAAATGACAGGATTATTTGACTCAAAGTTGCATATAAATACAAGTCCATCTCCGCTTATTAATGTCTAGGATGTTGATCTTCATGTACTCCAGTTCAATTTCTAATATTCATAATTCAAATATTCTATGTTCCAAATATTAATGAATGTTTGCAGCTGTTTCTCCTATTTTGAGAGTCTTCCAATCTCATCGTTAGATCTCTACTTTTGGTAAAATACCTACCAATGTTCCTCTTTGGTCACAGAATATCTGAATGCCTATTATTTCAAAAGTGGATGGACAAGCCTGCTTCTTAGTCTTAGACTTCGTAGACTACAACCTATCCACCATGGGTGACCAATTTTAAAATTTTGACAATTATTTGAAATTCTGAAAATTGAGGTATTTATCAAACTACACAATGGTCAGTAAAATATTTCGGTATCATCAGGTTCTGATCTTCTGCATCTATTTATACAGACTAATAAGACAGAGTTTGGAAAAAGATGAATTGCAACAACTAAGTCTTGGAGAAATATCTGATTTTTATAAATATTATATACTCACGTAAAACTATTCGTCATATACAAAGATGCAAAATTGCTCAATCTTAGGCTGGTTACAGCTAACAATAGCATCACTTACCTTAAATTCCTTGTGAAGATTAAATAGCATAATACATGGAAAATTTACTAATATGAAGTAGAAAAGCACAGAGAAGTAGAATACAGAAGATTTCCAAAAATCTTCTAAATAGGAAAAACTGTTTTTATAGTTGTTCTAAGATTCTTATTGCCCATGTTTTACCATTATAAGAACCCATGAAAAAGTATTCGTATTTATTATATGGATACACAAAATCTAGAGAATTTTGACTTTTGCAGTTACATAATTTACTAGAGGTTGCAACATATAAGAAGCTATCAACAAATAATCATTTTAAACATGCAACCAAGGCTGATGGGATTTGATGTAACCCAAGATGGCATTAAACCAAAGGTTGATGTAAGTTTATCAGCTAGGAGTTAACATTCATTCTGTAAAAATAACAATCATTGCCCCCCCAACTTAAATCTATTCCAATGTATTCTTACTTCATTAAAGCACAACTACACAATAGTATTTTTTGAAATTTTTCTAAACTAGAAAATATCAAGACCTAAAGATGAATGCACCATTGTTTAAAAATGCAGAACACACCAGGATGATGACCATTTTCTCTCTGGGTACTAACTAAAAGGCAGGATCTGTGCCTCTGTCCAGTGTCTGTGTCTTTGAGTAACAGAGCCCATTTAACAGAATTCAAGATGATGATGATAGCAGATATTCCACCTATCCTTTTAATAACTAAGATATGGCACACAGAAAAACTACTGCTAAAGGTAAAACCTTTACACTACTTATGGATTTCACTACATAGCATGGTCCTCAAGGATCTCCTCTGGAGAGAACATCCATCAACAAATACCTCCACTGCTCAGGTGAAACACACTCCCCTTGCAAGGGTATACCAACAGCAACCTGTGTTTTCTCTAAAGGTTTTTTCCACTGAAAATTAATGGGGTCTA